TCTAACAAATTCACTAATTTGTTCTTTATTTTTCTAGGCTCAAGAGTAACCTTTTACAAATCCCTATCTTTTAAATGGCTAAGATAAAACTAATCCTCTTTTACAAAGGATAAAATTGAATAAACAAGAAAACCTCTGAAAGGTATGCGTTTAGAACTTAAGCTCACTAAAACACTCTACGTACAAGAGAAGGGGAAAATAAGAATGAAAGATATTTTCTCTTGATTTAGATTTATTGGATAGGTGTTGTAACCTTCTTCAAGCATCCTCAACTTGTTTTTGTATGTTGGAATGAGTTTGCAGTCGTTTCTAGTCGTTGGGGATGTTTTGGAGCCGTTGGGGACTTAATTGCTGTAAAATAAAACTGCCCATAATAGGGAGTATCGGTAATCGGGCTAGAAGTATTGGTACTGCCCTGATAAATTTTGAATAAACTATCCATTAAAGAACGTTGGGCTACAACAATTACTAGGGTTCATGGTATTGATACTGAAATGAATGAGTATCGATACCTCAAGAGTATTGGTACCAATTTTGCCTACTGGAATTTGAACACATTTGAAAACAAAGGGCAGTATTGATACTGCCAAATGAGTATCAATACCTCTCTTACCTTAGGTATCGATACTTCAAGAACAATATTGATATTGTTCATGTGGTATCGATACTGCTTACCCAGAAAATTGTTTTTATGTTCAAATTCTTGTTTAATAAACTTTGAATTATTTTTGAAAACTTTAAATAAATTTAATCAAGTCCAAAAATATTTTACCCTTAAAATTGTTATATAAAAATAGGTTCAATAAACTAATTTGTTTCACAAGAAAAAGAGACGAAGTCATAATTGACAAATATTATTAAGAAATTTCATAATTTGAAGGCATTTATACTAGTTAGTATGTTGAAACCTTAATAAATATAGACACATGTAAATAAAATGTGATTATGATTTTATATTTAAAATCTAGTATGAATTTACTCTAGTTTACTTAATTAAAATTGAAGGAGACATTTGTTTACATGTGTTGTATGATATTAATTTAGGCACCTTTAGGTTAAAGAATGTGACGGTAATTGGAAATAGTTCTCTATCCTATGAATGATATAATATGTGGGGTGCCTAAAACAAATCTTTAATTTAATGCTTTGTTTTATGAATTCTGAGATTATAATTCTTGACTTAGCAAAGCAAGAGATTGAATGCCTAAGAAATCTATATTGTTGATAATCCTTAAAATTCTTCATCTTTTATGCATTTTAAACGAATCTAAGATAACATTTTTATGGTTTAAAATCAAGCCTACAAAGATAAGAGAAGGCATAAGTATGTACGAGAGGGTAAAGAGAAATTATATTGATCTTTTAACTTAAAAGTTAAAGAGAAAAGTGATTCAAAAATTTTCGAGGGGGATAGGTCCATTTAGTTGAGGAATTCATGGTGGATACCCAACTTTATTTTCTAAGTTTCATGTGGTCAAATGAAGTCATTAAAAGACTTACAGTGTACATCGTCACATATCCCTATGACAAACAATATGCATTCATGAAGTTGAGCTTTTTCTCTTAATGAATTTATAGCTCAAGTTTTGGGTGGTCCTAATGAGAATGACTTGATGAATTCATCAACTTGAAAGGATGAGCTTTACAATCTTAATGAATTCATAGCCCAGGATTTGGGTGGTCCTAGTGAAAAGGACTTGATGGATTCAACAACTTGAGATGTTGAGTTTTGCGCTCTTAATGAGTCCATAATCCAAGATTTGGATAGTCTTTGTGAGGCGAACATGATGAACTCACCGAATTGAAAGGATAAATTATTAAATATTCTTAAAGAATTCATATCCATTATTTGGGTGGTCATTGTGAGACAGACTTGATGAATTCTCTTAAAAATTGAGAGGTTAAGCTTTCTAAATACTTTTAATGGTTTCATAACCCTGATTTGGGTGGTATATATTGAGATTCACTCTATGAAATCACTTACGTAAATGTGAAGGATTAGTTCCCTTATATGAAAGACTTTGGACAATCTATCTATAGCATCAGCATTTTGATATATATTTTGCTAAATCTATTGATCTACCGCGAAACTCACTTGTTAACAAAGTTAGTCATGTGTAGGGATGAGCATGGGTCGGGTCGAGTCAGATTTTCAGTCAACCCGACTCGAATTTAGAAGTGACTTCACTTGACCCAAGTTTAGGGATGACCTCACCTGACCCGAGTTTAAGGGTGACTTCACCCAGCCTGATTTTTTGAAATATAACCTGAATTCGTCCCAAACAAATCCAAAAAAAATATATTTATAAAAATATTATTTTTTATTCAATAAAAATAGAGTTCTAATTGAAAATAATAATATATAGAGGGTTATTACTATAATTATCCCTAGATATATAATGTATATTTTTTATTATTTTTCGGGTTGGGTCAGGTTGGGTATTTTTCACCCTAAACCCAAACTCGACCCGACCCATACATATTTTATAAAAAGCCTGACTCGACTCTAAATTCAAATAAACTAGGGATGCATTGTCTGATGCATCGATGCATTAGTGCAGATGCATGGATGCACTACAGGGATGCATGGATGCACTGCAGGGATGCATGGATGCACTTTGACACCCTTTAGCATTTTTGCTCAAATCCGATTTTAATGGACTTTGAATTATTTTTGAAACCTTTTAAAACTTTGAATAAATTTAATTCAAATCCAAAAACATTTTGCAAATTCAATTCAAGTCCAAAAACATTTTGCCTTAAATTGTTATATCAAAACATAGTTCAACAAAATGTTTTTAAAAAAAAACTTGATATGGTCAAGTAGGGTCAAAACTAGTCGAATTTGGGTCTCGTGCCCATCCCTAGTCATGTGTTATAAGTCTACTCCTATTTTTACAAGTTCTAGATGTGTTCACTTCTTAAGAGAATAATTGCTCATTTCACATGTATTAGTTCCAGATACGTTCACTAGTACTTAATCAGTTAATTTCGTTGTTGTTCTTTTCTTATTTTCGAACTCTTTTACTTATTTACATTATTGAGGGATTGTTAGTAATGCAAATACTAAAGGTTGTTTTTAGGGAGTTGGTTACCTATTTTTAGGGAATTATTGAAGTGAGTATTTGGCAATTGACAATTTTACTCCTCTACCACTCCTATAAAAGGGATAATCTCTCTCCCTAATTGAATATATAATTGATAGTTTCTATATTTTCTTTTGAAAAATTTATGGTCAAAGAGAGCTGCACAAGTGGGCTCCACTTCCTCACTTTGGGTGTACAAGGTTTGTAAGATGATGTTAACCTTGAGGGGCAATGTCCATTTCGAGATTACACCAATCTAAACGAAATTGATTCTAAGGCAGTGACTTTTAACACAACACAACAATTGTATCGTTTTCATTATTTTAATTATTATTATTTAAAAATTATTATTATTTATGATAGTCAATAATAATAATATAATTTTGCAATATCCCATTTTCCTAACAATACCAATGAGGATGTTGAGATGCCTCCTCTATTGAAGAAAATCGATCGATGACCTTTATATTTTCTAAAATAAATCTCGGATTAAGTCACTTTATGACATTTGCTCAACTAAAAGACGGACAACTTGTTATCCTTTAGAGATTATCTCTAAAAATTTCTAGCGCACTGAGGCCTATAAATAAGCTCCTTCACCCCCAGAACCTCCAAGGAACCCATATCCTTCGTGTTAAAGAGCATCATGACCTCTAAACCACTATAGTGCATAATTATCTTACGACTGGCACCGTCGGCTAGGGTTGTTGTAAATACCTTTTAGTCATGATTGAGTAAGGGATATTTTTTTGGAACTTCTTAGCTTCCCACTTCTTAAGCACCCTTCTCAATCTTTCCCCGAGCAACATACTCTCCATTATGTCTTCACCTCTCTCACAAGAAAAAACAGACAAATGATTTTCCTTGCAATTTTTTGTAACTCTCTGTTTAAATTAGAATGAGTGAATCACTAACGATCGATGCAATCTATATGCTTCCATCAACATATTTAATAATTTTAAATTATTTTATTAATTTCCTAATTAAATTTTTATTAAAGTCATACCATTAAAATCAAATAGAAAATTTTTATACTAACTGAAGTTTTTACACAAAAATATGTTATCCGAACTAGTAAAAAAACAAATTTACAATTATCTTAAAACTTCAAAAGAATTCAAAATATAATTCTCTAGAAAACAAGAAAGTTAAAGTACAACTTTAACATATGAGGTCTTTAAAGTACAGCTGTAACCTTAACAAAATACATAAATATCATGCGAGGCTTCCATTTTAAATTGATAAGGGACATGAATGTAAATATGGAGAAAGATTGAGGTATTGTTTGATATAAATTGAATTTTTTTCTCCTTTTATTTCTTTCTTTATAGAAGAGCTGAAAATCCACGTAACTAATGATGTACAAATTTTGTGGATTAGTCTTCATATTACAAAAAAATTATTAGATGATCACAACTCATCACGTCATATGTGGTCTCAATTAATATGTTCCATCTATCTATTTTTTCTACAGTAAAAATCTTCACCTCTTTCCTAAATATAAATAAGAAATAAGTAGTTATTTGAAAGTTGCTTTAAGATGGATATATTTTATTGATTGAGATCATAGATAACATGGTAACCCTTCATCTAATAATTTCTCTCATATTACTGTTTTCAAAATTTTAACGTATTTGATTGTTGATACATTAGTGCAAATAAAAGAAATGTCAAAATTAGACCCTTAAAGTGGCCATTTTGATTTTTTTATAAATATTTTGCTTTAATTTTTCATTTTAAAATAAAAAATTCTAAATATTTTAACAATTATTATTTTTTATACATTTTAACTCTCAACGTTTCAATTTAAGAAAAAATATCTTATTTTAAAACGTTGCCAACAAGCAATTTGTTTAATGTGATGAGACAGTAGATCCCTTAAACAATATCAGATGTTTGAATCATTACCTCTACATTACCCGATTCTTACAACCTTGTACGGAAACTTTCCCATTTCCCAAGCAAACACACCCACATTTTGACCAAAAAGTATTCAAACAATAGACAAAGGCAATTAAAAGTTATACCACCATTTTTCTTTTTCCCTCCTAATCAACCAACCAAAACACACTAAAGTCAAAACTTGCCAAATAGGTTTGCAATTTCATCAAAAACAGAAGAAAAAAAGGAGTAACTTTCACTAATATCATCCAAACCCATTACAACCAAACTCCTAAACTAACTTAAAAAAAATAAAAGGAAAAAAGAGAGACCCAAAATTTTAAAAAAGTGATTGAGAGGGGAAAAGAAGGCAGTGCTCAAGCTCACCATAAGACTATAACTGCTTATGCCTCCTCATTTCCAATATCTTCTTATGTGAATTCGAATGCAACTTACTTGAAAACGTTGGGCTGCTTGCCGGACGATACTCTGGCACCAAACGCCCCGACTTATACCTCACTCCACAAGCATTGCAGAGCGTTTTAGGCCCGAGTGGCCCTGCCCTCCATTGCGGTGTCTTTTCGGCACCACAATGCTGACATTTCCTTCCCATGCTCCTCCAATGGTTCCCCTTGGCTGTGGTGGTGGTCACTTTCTCATGAACCCACCACCATCTGTTCCCCTGCTCCCTACATTTGCGGAGACGCTTCGACCTCGCTTTTACCGGGATCTTGACGTTGCCTACACAATACATTACGATGTTACTGTTTGTTAAGGTTACTGACATCGAGCTCCGCTGGTTTGTCGCCGTCGCTATAACATCCACAAACGACGTCTCCACTGCTGGAAATGCATCCTTGTTTGATAACCATTCCGGTTCTTCCTCCGCAAATTCCTGCAAAATTAGCTCTTCTAGTTTAACACAGCCTATTCGAACAAGTTAAAAAAATTGGGTAAACTACTTATTTAGTCAACCAGCTATTATTGATCACTCAACTATTTTATTTCAAAATCACACCTATCGTTACGTTTTAATTCGATTTTGTTCACATCATCATAAGATAATGTCACATTAGCATTGAGAAATAACGAAAAAAATATCATGTTAACATAATAGTTAGTTTTTAACGACACTTAACCAACACAAAACAAAACATAACATTAAATATAATTTTTTTAAAAAAAATAATTAGATGATCAAAATAAAAACTACTAATAATTTAGTAACCAAATAAGTAATTTACCCTATAGATTTATAACAAATGTCGTAATTATTTTAAAATTTTATTACTTAACTAATTTTCACTAAACAAAAAATTATTGCATTTTTTCCCTAAATAAGTCCATTGATTTATCATGAGCTACGTTAGTTGGGAAGACAAGGACAAAAGTAGGTATAGTAGGATTTACGTGCGACAAACAAAAGAGAATGTTGGAAAGTTGGACAAAACAGACTTTTCGCATCGGAATGGAATTATTAAAAACAAAAACGGAGTGCTCGTATTAATTTTTAGCCTCGCTGTGACATTTATTTCTAAGATAAGATCAAGAACTGATATTTCCCTCTCCTTTGAATTACCTAAAACACCCTTAACACGACCTCCATATTACGCTGTCTCATTCTAGTGTGAATAAACATGATGGGTAAACTCGTCCTAATAAAAAAATAACAAAAGGGGCCAATCAGCATAATAATGCAAAGAATCAGTTTGGACTAAATTATAAACAAAGTCACGTAATTCAATTAAACGGTTATGACCCGACCCGAATGATTTCCAATTCCTACTCGGGATAATCGCCCGAGTTCGACGGAGACTCGGCCGAGTTAGCGGCGAACTCGGTCGCCGTCTAGAAGAGGAAACAACGGAAAAAGTAATTAGATTGGAAGAGAGAAGAAAAGAACTTACTGAAAAAGAAGAGTTGTTACGGTTAAGAGAAGAGGAGGAGGAAGAGTTAATCTTTGAGGATTTGTTGTTGTCTCCTTCGTCTTCTTCTTCTCCGACGTCGGAGGTGAAGTCCAATAAGGTGTCGTCAAAACAGGTCGCCATGTCAAAAGCTTTCATTTCTCAACGATAAGGTAAGAAGTTGGGGAAGAAGAAGATTAAGAGGGAAATCCTTTTTTATTGTTTTAGTGCGAGAACAAGGGATGCCATTTCTTAGGGTTCCCTTTTTTTATTTTTTTTCTGACGTATTATTTGTTTATGTATTAGAATGGTGGTGAGTAACATTTGTCTGTAAATGTGGCCCACATTCTTTTCCCCCTTTTTCATGAAATCAGTACCGTTTGATGAATCATTGAGTGATTATTCACTTGGATATATGAAAATGCACTAAATTGGTGAAATTCTGTGTCGGAACAAAAAATTAGAAAAAATTAATTTTTGGGTAAAGTACATAAATGATACTCGATTATAGGGTGTGTTTTTGTTAAATCTCCGACTATTAAAAGTTACAAAATGATTATTCGACTATAATATGTTCTAAACCAGTTCTTTTAATTAAAATTTTGTGGTTGTCTAAGAGGGATGTTAACATAATGATTGAATATGATAAGATCATATTTAAATGATGTATATTGACATCATCGTTACTTTTAAGTACTAAGGGGATGTTTGTTTGTTTCTTAATGGAATCATTCAGCGCTGAATGTTGAACCGTTCAGCATTCAGCGCATTTGTTTCGCACCTCTGAATGATTCAGTGCTGACCAATTCAGCAAAACAGTGTTGAATGATTCAGCGTAGAAGAACTGACGTCGGACAGAATAGTGATTATCCTGTAGGCTAGCTCCAACAGATGATTCACAAGAGAGAATTTGCCCAAAAAAAACCAGAGCAAAAGTCTCTAGGGTTTAATAAAATATTATAAAATCAAACAATGCCCAAAATCAGTCCACAAGCCGGAGTGTTATAGCAAAAAATCGTCTTTATTCGAATTTTGCCAAAAATAGCAAAATCCCAAAAATCACTCTAAATTGAAATTCGAAATAAAATAAGCAATCTCCAAAAAATTCGGCCTAAATCGGATTTAAATTGACTTCCTAATTAACAATCGAAATATTACCATAAATAGTAAAAAATATCTAAATCTAGTGATTCGGAGGGGAAAACGGTAGAATTTGAGGTTGAAAAAAAGGACACATTGAGCATAGCTCATGTGAAAGCGTGCGCGTCAAAAATAGCTTTTCGGATTGGGGTCTTATACGCGATTCTGACACCTGTAGCCAAAGTTATGACCAAAAGACTGAAACATACTCAAAACGACCCCAATGAGGAACATGTCACAATCAATTCCCGCCTTTGTGCTGATCTGCCAATTCATGGTATCTCAACGCCATCAAGGTGCAATCTGACAGCTCAGCATCATCTGTCTCGGATCCCCCTGCATCAGTCACCCCGGGTTGGAAAGAACTCATCCTCGAGTTCAGAGTAGTGTCATCAGAATCCACAAAACAATAACTCAGGTGCTTCACATTAAAGACATCAGAAGTCTTCAAGTGGCTGGGAAGGCGCAACCTGTAAGCATTATCATTGATATTTTGCACGACCTCACAAGGTTCAATCTTCCGATCCTTAAGCTTATTATACTCACTAACAGGAAAATGATCACGAGTTAATACAGCCCAAACAAAATCACCAACATCAAAAAGTACCTGACGACGATGATTGTCGACCCGAGTCTTGTACTTGGTATTGCTCTCATGAATGGTCTGTTTCACCTGCTCATGGATACCCCGAAGATACTTTGCCATCTCATCTGCTTTAGGACTGAAACGACCTATACGTGGAATAGGGGCTAAGTCCAGCACCCCGGATGGGTTCTGACCATAGACAATCTCAAATGGGCTTAAACCTGTGGTTCTGCTTTTTGATCTGTTGTAGGAAAATTCTGCCTGAGGCAATGCCAAATCCCACTGCTTCGGCTTCGTTCCTGCCAAACACCTCAAAAGGTTTCCCAAACTTCGGTTCACCACCTCGGTCTGGCCATCCGTCTGGGGGTGGTAGGCGCTACTGAAATTCAACTGCGTTCCCAGTTTCCCCCACAGGCTCTTCCAGAAATGACTGATGGACTTACTATCACGATCTGAAGTGATGGAACGAGGAACACCATATAAACGCACAATCTCCTTGAAATAGAGATGGGCAATCCAGTCAGCATCCATAGTCTTTCTGCAAGCTACAAAATGAGCCATCTTGGAAAACCTGTCAACCACAACAAAGATAGAATCTGAGACCCTTTGGGTGCGGGGTAAGCCTAGTACAAAATCCATGCTGACATCGAACCAAGGAGCTTCAAGAACAGGTAAGGGAGTGTACAAGCCCGCATTGGTGAGAACTCCCTTAGACCGCTGGCACACATAACAACGGTCCACATAATGGGCCACATCACTAGTCAACTTGGGCCAATAAAAGTCAGAAGAGATAAGGGCCAAGGTCTTATCTCGGCCAAAGTGTCTCTCATTATGGAGTTCACTTATAATTTGCTGCCTCAATGAACAATCTGGAATGCACAACTGTAATCCACAAAACAGATACTCATTATGCAAAACAAAATCATAACGGTGACCCTCAGTTACCTCCTGAAATATCCTTCCAAAGGAAGGATCAGCTGCATACATATCTGTGAACGTCTCAAAGCTTGCAACTTTAGTACTCATGGTGCTAAGAAATATGGTACGACGGCTCAGGACATCTGCGACGCAGTTCAAACTCCCTGCTTGGTGCCTCAGCGTAAAAGTGAACTCTTGCAAGTATGCCACCCACTTGGCATAACGTCTACTCAGCTTGTGTTTGACATTGATGTACTTCAAGGCCTCATGATCGGTAAACAGAATAAACTCCTTCTGTACTAGGTAGTGACGTCAATGCTTCAGGGACTGAACTATGGCATAAAACTCCAGATCATAAGTGGAATAATTTTTCTTTGATCCTGATAGTTTTTCACTGAAAAAAGCAACCGGACGACCTGCCTGACTCAGAACACCACCAATGCCAACGCCAGATGCATCACAATTTACCTCGAACACTTTGTCAAAATCTGGAAGTACCAAAACTGGAGCCTCGATCATCTTTTGCTTGACTAGTTGAAAACTGGCCTCTGCCTCCTCAGACCACTGGAAATCACTCCCCTTGAGGCACTCTGTGATAGGGGCGATCAGAGTACTGAAATTTCTAATGAATCGGTTGTAAAAAGACGTCAAGCCATGGAAACTTTGGATGTCATGTAAGGCCCTTGGTCTGGGCCACTCCAAGACTGCATCTACCTTTGACTGATCTGCATGAACACCATCAGTAGACACAACAAAACCAAGAAAAGTCATAGAAGTAGTGAAGAAAGAACACTTCTTTTGATTGACAAACAAGCACTCCGTTTTCAGCATCTCAAAAACAACACGGAGGTGATCGAAGTGTGAAGTCCATGTCAGACTATAAACGAGGATATCATCGAAGTAAACTACAACAAATTTCCCCATAAAAGCCGCAAGACCTGATGCATAAATCTCATGAACGTACTGGGCGCATTGGATAGCCCGAAAGGCATGACCATCCACTCATACAACCCTTGTGGCGTTTTAAACGCCGTCTTCCACTCATCTCTATGTCTTATTCTGATTTGGTGGTAACCGCTCTTAAGGTCAATTTTTTAGAAGACCTTAGAATCAGATAGTTGATCCAACATATCATCTAGACGGGGAATTGAAAACCAGTACTTCACTGTAATTCTGTTCATCGCTCGGCTGTCAACACATATACGCCAAGAACCATCTTTCTTTGGCACTAGCAGAGCAGGGACTGCACATGGGCTCATACTCTCTCGGATATAGCCCCTCTCCAACAACTCTTCCACCTGTCGCTGCAACTCTTCAGCCTCCTTGGGACTGAGGCGATATGCTGGTCGATTTGGCAAACTTGACCCAGGAACAAGGTCAATTTGATGCTGAATATCCCTCATAGGTGGTAGCCCAGGAGGAAGATCCTCTGGCTTCAAGTTAGATAATTCTGCTAGCAGCCGCTGCACCTCTACTGGTAAATCTGCATCTACGTCTACTGCATTGTTCTCGCAAGGTAGTAAGGCATAGACCACGTCGCCATTCTCAATCTCATCTAAAAACCTAGACATAGAAAGCAGAGTAGTATTATGAGTTACTGGGGTAGGAGTGAGTCCTTCCCGCCGGGGTGCCAACACAATCTTTTTTCCCTTGATGCTAAGGGAATATGTATTCTTCCGTCCATCATGAATGACACTGCGATCATAATTCCAAGGTCGACCCAACAATATATGACACGCATCCATAGACACAACATCACACCAGACATTATCAAAATATTTTCTACCAATTGAAAAAGACACGAGGCATCGCCTATCAACTGTTCCCTCACTGCCTTTATTTAGCCATGACAGCTTGTATGGCTTAGGATGACGGTCCGTCTTCAACTGTAATTTCTGGACAACCTCCTCGGACACTACATTCTCACAACTGCCGCTGTCAATGATCATTTTGCAGACTTTATCTGCAACTGTGCAGGTCGTGTGGAAAATATTGGTTCTCAACCAATCGTCCCCTGAATCGCCATTGGGAGTAAGTAGACTCTTGCGAATGACCAAAGTCTCATGACCATCTCCATACAGCACATCATCAGTCTCATCATCGTCATACACGGGTTCGCCAATCTCCTCAGTCTCGTCTTCCGTGTTTTCCTCAATCAACAAATTTTTGCCCTTTTAACTAGCAGGCTTCCTACAATCAGTCGCCCTATGCCCTTGTTCACCATAATGAAAACATCTAATAGTAGGGTTAGAATTACCCTACGGTGGCTGTTGAGAAGGATGGGAATCCTGAGGACAAACTGACCGACTGTTGTGATCGTTCCTGATCACTGTCTCCTGTTTTGCTATTTTTCAACAACAAGTGCATGCTGGTAAGCTTCCGAAACACTCCACAGTGAATGAAGTCTGAGAACATCTTGTAAGGGTTGGCGTAAACCCCCCAAATATCGTGCCACCATTTGCTCCTCCGTCTCAGATAAATTGTTCCGGGCGACCAATTGGTAAAACTCCTCTGTGTAATCATGGACTGATCGTGCGCCCTGCCTCAACGCATGAAGTCGCTGAAACAAGGTTTGCGTGTAACCGAAGGGAAGGAAGTGACCCTTCATCTTC